TCAATAAACATTATTTCAAAATTATCTCGGTATACGAAATGGCGAAGGAAGCGCACAAGGAATGCAAACGAATAAATTTTCTAAATCTTATTCTGGGCTCAGCTTTTGACTAAACTTGTTCTTTAATTCATCATGCAATCTCTTTCCAATTTGATTTGACTGCCTAGTCTTGACTTCTATTCAAAGACAAGGATGTTTAACAATGCTTTCTTGACTTGATGGATAATTATGAAATTCCAAACTGAGGCAGCATGTTAGCGATGGAAATGAGCAAAGATACTTTTTCCCTTCTCAATTAATTTCAGTATACCGAAAAAGCTGTAATATGCGGAAATAAACTACCTGACGACTATTGCGAAAAAATAATGAATGCGGCAGCGATGAAGGTGATGGCGGGTGTGGATACTGACAGACCCGACCATTGTTTCAAGGTGATGTTATTTTGTACTACCTCATTGTTGTTTTCATTGAGGTAAATCCTTACTTTGTCGCTTTTTTGCAGTACACAAAGTAGGAAACAAGGAATAATGAGGTATCGCAGCCGCTAGATTATGGCACGGTATAAAATACTTGAGCTCTTAACGTTTAGGACTCACTCCCATTAAAGGAAAGTTGACAAACTTTTACACTTTTATCCTCCTAAAACATTCAAGACTGCAAACTTCCCGTAACTCAGCACATTTTCTTTATCTTCTAATGCGTGCAGTAAAGAATTCCGCAGGAAAGATAGAGCACGTGACAGTAGGGTTGAGGGTACTTCATAAAAGTGACATGAATGTGTTCTTTTCTGCTCAGTGCGCCATTTCTTACAAACAGCATATTTGACTAGCTACAGGGCAGCATTATAGCAATTTTCAAGGTTCCTGTATTCAGAATTAAGCTGTCGGTTGGGACTTTTTTGCTCCACAAAACTTTCCTACAATCACTTCTAATCTAATACAACCCTCCTATTCAGTAAGCCAGGTATACCCTTTTGTAAAGGGAGATTTTAAATGTCTTGCCAAAACTTCAAGAATCCTAGAAAATGTTTGGATTTGAAAAAAAACCATACTAAATGTCTAATATTTGCGCAGATGTTGCGTGTTTCCTTGTAGTGAAAGACATTGACCCAAAATAATTTGTCTGATTGATGCTGTAAATAATGGCGAGACTTCCATTTTGTTTTTTTTTTCTGACAATTTAGAATGCGTGTTTAGGATCCAGCGGTCGTAAGTCAGCAAATAAAAGATTTCACCACGATGTGGTGCCCAAAAACGTGCGGTTGGTGTTGTCTCACTCCTGCTTGGAATTGCCAAAATAAACTATGTAAGTTTTGTGTCATCTAGCCATCGTCTCTAAAAGTGGGAGCCCTTAAGCGAGATGTTTAATTTTTTAGAATTAGGATGACTATATAAAGTGCTATAATGAGCAATATTGTTATCGATGATTAAAAGAATAATTCACTCACAAATCACCCTTTACACTTTTCAGACTGTTTTCGTGGTCAAGGACGTCAGTTCATAGCTAAATTAAATACCTTCGAATTAATGTTTACTCAAATTTTTAAAACTCTCTTAAGTACGTACAAATGATTTTTGAGAACGCTACATGAAGTGAAAGCATATGGTTGCTTTCACTTCTTAGAAAACGTTCTTTTTTTGCTAACAACCGCTTTAATTCAATTTCAAGAGCTTCCGGTAATGCACGTTTCAAGTAGCAGTATATTTTGTTATTCACTGGCCGAACAAGCAGGCTACGCGCGACATCAACTAATGAAACCAAAAACGTTTTGTCGTAGTAGAATGCAACTGAAAGTTCAGGGGCTGCTAATATTACTACATTCTGGTTGCTCTTATAGTGGAGCTCGGTTGTTCATTCTCTTGACTGCGAACAACAAAATTAATCTGCGTAATAACTTGCTTTTTCTCCATTTTTTAAATAGGAGCAACAGCTGCGTTTTAATTACAAAAAACCACATGTGTATAATCTTATTCATTTAATTTGATAACGATTAGTGATTGCATAAGTCCCTTTTGAAATAATGAACTTGTTTGGCTCAACAACTCGTAACAATATCATAGAGCATCAATTAAGTGTATAAAACAGAACAAGCCGGCATTTCCGGCTTTGCTCGCTTGTATAGTGTCTACGACTTACCTGCAACCTAGTCTTTGTATTTTCGTACGGATTTATCGCTGTATAAACCCCTACGTCCAACTTTGCAGCTTCTGCGTATCTACATCTTGTCTAAATCTTATGTTGTGTGGATGCATGTAAGACCAGATTACGAGCAACACTAAGAGCGAATACCATTGCTTGACCACGAAATGAGAGGTACAACAATCCTAGAGAGGAAGTGCAGAAAGTCACGAGCGTATTTTGCCTCCCCCGCCCACTATCCGTTGCCGAGTACATGAGCCTAAATTTTTTTATTTGGATGCAGCTGAAAGCTTACTTAGATGTTGTTTGAAACTTTCAAATAGAAATCTTCTTCTTTCGTTCGTTTTTTCAAATGCGGACGAATGTACTAATACGCACAAATTGGCTACCCTTGCCATACAACAATCGTTGTACTCTGACTCCTACTGCTAACCCATAAGCAACCGCTCTGCTTCAACGTACTTCCACTTTGAAACTATATAATTTTACATGTTGAAGTAGTTTCCTAACGATGAACCACTTTACTTTCAAAATGACCTATTATGGCCAACGCTATCGAACGACTAATTAAATCCCACCGGCGTCCGAAAGTTGTGGTTGTCGTCCGTCGTTTGTGTGCAGAGTTTGTGTTTTGGCTCAGAAACAAAAATTTGTATTCAGAACATACATGCATACATACATATATACATACATACATACATACATACATACATACATACATACATACATAC